TACAATGCAATATATTTTAAATATTGGTTATTATTGACAGCTCCTGGATGAAAATGATGTTGGAATTAGTAAGGAGTTTTCTTTTTACAGATCTCTATTAAACTGAACCATCTCTATGGCATAAAGTCAGTAAGAGTATTTTGACTTAGAAAGTTTTTGATTTCTAATTTTGAAATCAGCAAAAAATTCAAAAAAAAGCATTAATGTAAAAGCTCTTGTTTTGAAATCTCAACAGACCAGTTCTAACAAACAAGAGGCCCAGATAATACCAAAAATAAAACACAATCAAAACTATTGCCTTTATTTCCACTTTGCACATGAGAAAATCTGCACTGTACTGTATACTGTATTTTATTACCAGAACAGATTGAATTCATGGTATGCTTGGTCTGGAACAATGATATTTAGTAAAGTTGTTTCATTGTGACTCTCCTATATTCATACTATGACCAAGACTGTGACAGCACACTTTGGAATAAATAAGAATACATGAGAATCAATTTAGAACATGCAATGGGTCTGTTAAAATTCCTCTGAGGACTAGTCTGAAAAATCAAAGGTTGCAAACTAAGGTTAATCTGAAGCAGGCTTAATAAGATATGCGCATCAGATTTAAATTATTATCTTCTTGATTGTGTCCCTACAGCAACATCATGCAAGAAAGAAAATGATACTCCACGTGCATCTTGTTTTCCACTAGCGTAGCAAAAAAGAGGATTTAAGACCAGAGTTTTTCATCATAAATAAAAGAGCCATTACATTACAGACTTACAGTACTTTAATATACAGTAATTGGACACAGCCAGGATCCAGACAATTTACTATTAGAGAATAAGAAATTATAAATTAAATGACAAAAACAATAAAAATTGACTGACAGAAATTCATGAAATTGAGTTAAGATGTATTTTTTTCTCTTCATAATAACTACTTTAACATACTATGAGCAAACAGTTTAATTTAATCCAATAAAGAAGAATGGCAAAAAGTACAAAGCAATGATATAGTTAGAATGTAGGTGGAGGGTCTGTCTGCATTTGGAAATTCCTTTATTACATCATCTAATACAGTGGAACCATATACACTGCTGTGCAAAAAGTCTTAAGACATCTCGACCACAATGTAAAGTTACTTTACAATATTTTATGAGTATCAACAATGTACTCAAAGCCTCATTAATGCTTTCTGTGATTACAACGGTGTTGACTGCTATTAATAGACTTTTTTGGGTGAGAAGAAAGTTGGGTTGGGTGAAAGGGTGAGAGTTTGGGTGTTCTCTTTCTTTTTTTCAGCATGGAATAAACCGATTACTTGTTCCTTTGCGGCCTATGCATGCTGACGCAGCTACCCACTTTAATTTACATTGACCAGAATCTTCAAAAACATGTTAACAGCAGCTCTATTTAAGATATTTAAATACTTTGTACATGAGCAGCCAACATAAAGTGTTTTACAGTAGCACCTATTCCATCACCAGACAAATCCAGCTGACTCATTGACAGGTGTAACTCATTATTAAAAATATATGTTTTCTCCCTGCACATTTATTAAGCAAGGACTACTTTTGACACTAGTAATACAGATTTATTGGGATTGTGCTGTAGCACCTACTCAGACAAAAAACTAATTGGTTTAGTGGAAGGTTGATGGATCACATTATGCAGAAGACCCCA